ATTAATTATCCTGAAGAAACAAAAACAGAAGACTTGATTGAAATTTGGCAAGAACTTTCTGATTTCTTATTTGGTTGGTTTGGGACTAAACCTTTCAACCTTCTTTACTGCTTTTGTTGGAGATTTAGGGTCACATACATAAATAAATTGCTGCATATACGCTTTTTAACTTCAAAAGACCACGTGCAAACATGTTACTATATTTACAATGATTACTATTAATAATTTCTAATTGAGATAGTCTCTAACATAATTGCAGATAGCATCATCCGGAATTAGCTGCATCAAACTGCAATTTAAAACTCTGCATATATTAACACAATAAATGTTACTCAGTTAGCAATACAAACTGAGTAAGTGGGGAAAGAATCTGTGTTTAATTTTCATTAAATATATCTTTGAGGAGGGACAAAAATTTTTAACTGTGACTAAATTCCAACTTCGAAAAAAAAAAACTCCTGTTATTTATTCTGAAGAGTCCCTATTCCAGAATTGGTTCAGTTAATTTTGACATTCTAATAGCATATGCATGTGTATATTCTTTTTATGCTACAGAGTCCCTAGTCCAAAATTTGATCAATTAATACGAGATTCTAATAGCATATTCATGCATGGTGTGTTAATTAAGACCGGTCAAAAATAAACTGAAATTTAATGAAGTTGTTAACTGGTGTAATAATATTTTATTGTAGTTCAAGCACTAGATTGGTTTTTAAGTATATATATATATTAATTGAGTGGCTGTTGTTGTTTATTAGTCTCGGTGTCCGATAAACTCAGGTCCAGGATGCGTATCAAGATTATAGATTGCATACACCGTTCTTGGCCTTTTGTTAAACAAGTTGTTTTTGGAATATATCACTGCTACAATGAACCATTACAAGCTACAATCTGGAACAGTCTTTCTGATCTCTTACAAAAGACAATATTTAGTTAAACCAATCATAGCATCTTTATGACAAAACCATGCTCGCTGGCCTTGTTTCATCGAAACGAATAAACTAAGACAGAGAAATCCCTGCCTTATATATATATGTATATGATAACTAGACCAAGTTAATGAATGTATATGTTCCCATGCAATTTATTGCTAAAAGAAAGACATGGACTTTAGTCATCGTCTCAATTTTCTCACAGGCTAAGATAAGATCTTGCAAAACCTAGTTGGTGTGTGATTTTGCTTAGGGAATGAGGAATACCCAGAATTGGAAAATATTAAATTTGTGGTTCTGTCACACTGTATGTTTTCATTATGTGGATATTACTTAGTTACCGGCCTCTGTTTGCCTTTTCCCTTAGGCAGTGCCTACCCTACTTTCCTTAACATATCATAAACAATAGCATGGCAGATTCCTAACCAAACCCACCCTGTGTCTTTCTTCATATTCAAGGATTCCTGCACTTGGCCAAGCAACATATTTGTCCAAGTAATACAAACTTTCAGGTTTCGGCATTTAAATGCAAAGGAGTAAGGAAATTTTGTGAGTGATGCGAGAAAAGCAAAATTCACCTTAAACAGGACAATATAATAGTGGATTGATATCTATCCAGATTTAAAAAACTCTCCAAATTTTTTTCATACACGAGAAATAATAAAGATTAAGGGAGGAGAATTTATGCTATATTATCCTTATTTTAAGTATCAATGTAGTCTAAGACAAATGTTTGATGAATTTGAGGGGACCATTGCCCCACTTAACTCCTATATATCTCTCATAATAGAATAAATCTTTAGTGTATTAGAGTCACTAAATTCAGTGTATCTGCTCATTTATTTTGTGACACGTGAATAAAAAATATCATATCATCTGAAAAAAAGTATATAATGTGATGTCTTTTGTTCACGTGTAATAAAATAAATAGACAATACACTAAGTCTTTGGTACATGTGATGCACTAAAGATTTATTCTACATAACTTGCTGAATATGTACTTTTCAAGTTTTTATTTTTATTTTTCATGAGAAATTAATTGCACTCCATATGTTTTGTGGTTTTTGTATTGTATAAGGACCGTCCGATCAAAAGAGTCATCACATGATGGGGAATATATAAGTATGGACCAGGAGTAAGATGATCCACAAGGTTAGTTGTTTGTATTATTATAGAATAATAAATGAAAATTACAAAAAGGCCAAACAACCTCTATAATTATGGATGTGACTCTAGCATGTAGTTAAACTAAAACAAACAGTTCAACCTTTTAAAGAGCAGAAAAGGGTGTCTGAATCTACCTGGAAATTGAGGTGAGTTTTGTCTTTAAGTCGTGGAAAAGACGCAATCTAACTAAAGAAGCCAATTAATAGGGTGGAATACAACTATATATAAATAAAAGGATGATGGGGTAAACAAAAGAAAGTGTGTATGTGTAAGAGATGCAAGTGTGAGGAGGGGATTCAAACACGATGCACATAAAGGTTTTTGTGTCTTCTCTAATTGGACAAATCTTATCCCATCTACGTTTTATTGGGAAGGTAAGGCATCTGTGGATATTTTACTCCATCGTCCTTCACTTTTCGTTTTTGTCCCCTCTCTTTTTTTCCCCTAAAAATTCAATTTGATAATTAACTCTCGTTGAAAACTAGGAATGGCCAAACAGAAATAATGAAGTCATGCACGTGACATAAATACTATTCTTTCATCCTGAAGATAAATCGGAGATACGTGAACTAATAAAACCTATGCTTACATAAGTCCATCATGCTGAAACAAAACAAAGGAGGACATGGACCACTACCTTGGCTGTGTTAATTTTATCACAGAATCATCAATGAACACTCCTGCATCTGAACCATAAAAAAATAATAAAAAAGTGATTGGAAACTAAAATAAAAATAGTCGGTTTGTACCTTTTTACCTGTTACATATATACGGTATTTAACTTTATCTTAACCAAATTCTCCACACAAAAAACTTTATCTTAACCAAAATAAATAAATAAATAAACATATTAAGTCAATGGTTGTGTGATGAAATTAAGGCAAAATGAAAAAAGGATTTATGTATTAAAAATGATTTAATATTTCTCTTGTTAGGCAGGAGATAACTTGCAATATCTAAAAAATTATAAGGTATTTTAAAAATTTTATTGTAATAAAAAAATTTAAAAAATCACTTTTTTAAACTTTATAACAACATGTTTTTGAAATTATTTCTTAAACATATTTTTTAATAATCCATCAGTTTATTAATTATTTGATTAGTTTGATTTGAGTCGGGTAAAATCAAATAGGCAACAAAATTCTTCCTATCAATATTTAACATAACTGCATTTTCAATGAGCATATACTCACATATTAAGTTGAAATAACCCCTTAATCAGGAGCATATCTTTGGTATTATATGAATATGTACTCCTTTACTAAAAACAAGAAAAGATAATACATAACTGTCAATAGGCATAAAATAGTAAGTGAAATGGAAAAAGTTAATTATATATATATATATATATATATATATATATATATATATATATATATATATATATTTGATAAAAGAAATACCCAATGTTCGGTACTACATAAATACGGAAAATATTTTCCTTTATCAGTCCATTCACGTACTTAATGGCTATTTCGCAAACATGTTTTCGGCAAATTAATTGGAATTTATAGGTTTTTACTAAGCCGGCTGTGGATGGGATAGAGGATGAAGCAGAGGGGAGAGTGAGGGAGCAGATTATGATGATTATTTGGGGTGAGGAGGGATTGGGGAAAGGGCCCCATCAATTGATTTGTTTGCTAATTTAGTAACATGGGATGTCCCTAATTTAACGAAATTATTCACCTGTAGAATCTCTTTCTTTCTCAATATTCATAAATATACATGTTCGGTCCAATTCAGTAATAATTTCATTTTTATAATCTCAGTATGTCTCTTGTTGTAGAACATATACAAGTGTACACCTTTTCGTGAACTCATCCAACTATCATTATTATTTGACTAATTGTAATTTATGATAGAAAAGAAGCACGAGTACTAATACAAATGTAACTGAAGAATTATTAATATTTCTTCGGTATATTTACTTTTCCTTCTTTTCTTTTTTTATAAAGATTTACTTTTCCTTTCATACAAGTATTGTATATATAGATATTTTTTAAATTTCATTGAAATATAAAAAATAAAAAAAACATTTATAGCGATTAAATATTTTAATAAAATACGATATAATTGTATATATTAAAAATAGGTCAACTGGAGTTACTTACATTTACTCTCTATTTGTTTTTAAATTTATTCACCGATTAATTGACTAATTGAATCGAGTCAGACAAGATGAAAAAGGCAGCAAAATTCTTGATGTATTTATAATTGGTCCATTGGTTATGGCTCTACCAATTAATGTATTGATTCAATAAATTAGGAGTTGAACAAAATTATGGTCCATTAAGCATAACTCACATGTTAAAAAAAGTAGCATTTCGAAATATAACAAATTATCATAAAATTCAAGTCCAAAAAAAAAAAAAACAGAAGATATGCTTGTGATTAATTAGGCAATATAAAAAGAAAACAACAATTTTACTATAAAGAAAAAAAAAAACAAATTTAATGTGACTTAAAATTCAAAAATTGAGATATATTTTAAATAATTTAATTATAATTATTTATTTTTAAAATATCTTTATCATTATATTTATTTTTTAAATTTTGAAGTAGTTTATACTTAATTTATAAAAGCACATTCATTATATTAGTAATTTTTTTATATAGATTCTAATTATTTATTTGAGACCAGTATACAGTGTTCTCACTTTTTCTATTATTTTCTTGCTATCACTCTCATTCTTACGATGACTATGTACTCTCTCTCTCTCTCTCTCTCTCTTTCTTTGTCATGTCTATGCTAACTCCATCAAATAGTTCCAACAGTCTCCCCATCAAACCATAATCATCACGCCTCTTTCAAAAGCCTTCTCCTCTTTCACTTTCTCTCCATTCCCCACCACCATACTCTCTCTGCCTCACAAAATCCTCAATTTTTTTTTTCTCTCTATCTTTTCTCCCCAAGTCACCGTAAAAGACAGAGAAAGAGAGAGAGAGAGAGGAAAAAAAAAAAAATAAACGTTGAAAATGTCCATAAACCACTACTCCTTGGACCTTCCTGAAACGACACCGTGGTGGACTCAACAACAACAACAACAACCCATCTTAATGGAACCAATCCACAACCCCTCCATTCACCATTCTTGGCCCCCCCAACACCACCCCAACATCACTCCCCGTTTCAACCTCAACAATCAAAACGACGACAAAGAACAAGAAGAAGACGATGAAAACAACAACAACTACGACCAAGCCGCCACCCCCGCCGACTCCTCCGCCGCAACGGAAGGAGCAGAAGACGAGAAGGAACCCATGTTCGAGAAGCCATTAACGCCGAGTGACGTGGGCAAGCTCAACCGCCTCGTAATCCCAAAGCAGCACGCGGAGAAGTACTTCCCCTTGGGCGCGAGTGGCGGCGGCGGCGACTCGGGCGAGTGCAAGGGGCTGCTACTGAGTTTCGAGGACGAGTCAGGGAAGTGCTGGCGATTCCGTTACTCGTATTGGAACAGTAGCCAGAGCTACGTGTTGACCAAGGGTTGGAGCCGTTACGTTAAGGATAAGCGCCTCGACGCCGGCGACGTCGTTTTGTTCGAGCGCCACCGCGTCGATGCTCACCGCCTCTTCATTAACTGGAGGCGCCGAAGGCAAAGCAATACCTCACCGGCGCACGTTAGTAGGTCGGTTGGACACGGCAAGACCGGTGATGGGAATAGCAATAGTAATAAAAGTGGGGCTAATGTTGGTGGTGTGGGCGTGGTGTGGACCAGAGGGTTCTATTCTGCGCATCCTTATCCTACGCACCTGTCCTTGCCATACCAACATGACTCTCTTCATGCAGGTCTCGCTACCTATCTCTTTAATATAATCTCATTCCATTTACATTCACATTCACATTCTAATGAATCAACTCATTTCTATGTTTTACTCCATTTTTTCAATTTTATTTTTATTTTTATATGTACATAAGTCTATTGTAAAAACAACTTTCACAAGACAATTTTCTCCATTTCCGGGCTCCAACTTATTGATGTTTTCACCTTTTGTTGTTGAATGTCGATGTTTTGTTTTTCTTTTAATAACATAATTAATGGTGCAAGTCCTATAAGAAAATAGTGATGAATTCCTTTTTTATTGTATTTTTTTTTTACTTTTTCCTTCCTTCGAATATGCTCTCTCTATTTATTTATTTTTAAATGTAAAATACAAAGAAGTAAAAAAAAAAAGGGAAAAGTGTCTATACTTTTAAATTACACAACTTATATCCTTTCACTCTCACAAAAAGATGGGACCCACAACTTTATTTTTTTTGTCAACTCTCTCTCCTCCTTTATCTATCTCTTTCTCTCTCTTAAAATGACACAACTTTACATCCTTCAAAATTATACACACTTTTCCCAAAAAAAAAATTCAATAAAAACAAGTAGATGAAATTGTTATATTCTCGTGAAAGTGCGTCACAGTTACCCTCCAATTAATTGGGAGAAATGTGATTTTATGTTGGGATTAGTAAGGAGGAGAATCCTTTGTGTTGATCTGTTTAGATTGCTCAAACACCCCGTGAAACATACGCGCCCATTTTCGTTGAATGAACGTGTGATTTTGTTTTTTGTATAAATTTTTTTTTAACCTTTTTAACAAAAGCTTGCAGGTTCAGAAAACTAGGCGGTGGCGTTTAATTTGTTTCCCTCACTTCATCCTCATCACAATAGTGAATGAATTTTTTTATTTTTATTTTCTTTTTAAAATCAAAGAACATTGACATAAGCACGTGTTGTAAATAATGTTACAGGGAGTGGGTCCGAAGGACAGAACCAAAGGACGAGACCGGTGGGAAACAGTTCGAGTTCTAGTTCGAGTTCAAGTTCAAGGGTACTTAGGTTGTTTGGGGTCAACATGGAATGCCAAACTGAACATGATGATTCTGGACCCTTCACACACGAATGCTCCTACAATAGTAACAATATGCCATCAATCCAGGGTACAGATACCCATCATTTCTACCACCATCATCAACCTCCTTATTCTTCCAATCCTCACCCTCACATGGTACGTCACCAACCATACTACTACTAGATATGCCACCCCCTAGATTGGATTCTCAATTTTTTTTTTTATTTTTGGGCCTGCTTCAGGTGTAAGATATATAACTATGTATCCACTTGGTTAATTAATAGTTTTTGCTAATTAATGATTTAATCTTGTCATGCATTAACATGAAAGGAATCGTTATTGTTCTAAGAATATTATTATAGGTTCATGTTCGAGATTATAGAGGATCTTTCTTGTCTCAAATTTTGGAGATGCATGCAAATGCAATTAGTTTGTTTATTTTTATTGGATCTTGATGTTCCCTTTCTACCCGACTTGTCAATTTATCAACTGAGGCGCGAATGGCAGAAGGGACATTTTCCCAATGCATGTTAATTTGGCTTTTGCATATTATATATAATTAAGGAAGGCAAAGGAATATATATATATATATATATATATATATATATAAATGCAACAATACTATTAAATTAAATAAGTACGTATAAGTTGTTAGACTTCAATAAGATCGTTCATTTTGTGTTAAAACTTTGGGCATCTCGTCCTAATCTGAGTCATGTGAGGTTTAATCATGTTACTTCATTTCATTAATAAATTGATTCCACTTCTTTGAAAAATAAATACTCGAGTGTTAGCTTAATTCTCTTTGGTTTTTGCTATCGTGAGTGACCAACATGTTTTGCTAATATGACTAAGCTGAGAACCTATGAAGCATCGACACTTCAAAAATTATGACGTCGTGTCCGACACTTCCCGGCACTCACAGACACTCTGACACTTCCTGACACTCCAATACTCATTGCAAAGACTCAAAAAAAGTTCAAAGGTTACGTTGCGTTGCATTTTGAGTTTCAACTATTAGATTTGTTAGATTACGATTGTAATTTTATTGTGTTTAATATAGACATTTGAGATATTTATATTTCTTTGCAAAATTAATGGGTATTATAAGTTTAGTTTTATTTTTTTGTTAAATTAATACTAAATATAATATACACTATATAAATTAAAAATATTATATAATATCAAAACATGTTCTAACGTGTCGAAATTTAACATTTTTTAAAATTAACCTGTCGGAGTGTCGTGTCGTATCGTATGTCATGTCGGTGTCGGTGCAACAAAGCTGAGAACTATGCAAATCCATTTACCCCTATATTATGTACATAATGTCTAATTATACGAAGCTAATTTATTTTTTTTTACATAATATAAGTGTAAGATTAATTATTTGAAATATCGAAACCATTTCTCTTTAAAATGTTTCCTAGTTAGCTTGACCATCTAACAATATGAAGACTCTTCAATCATTGGATTCAAGTTTGCTTTTTATTTAAATTACCCCTTGTATATACATAATATTCCTTTCACCAAACATATGACTTTTTTCCTAGCTTCCCCCGGACTTTAAACATAAGGTATTAAACATTAATTTAATTTCTCCTTGTTTGTGGGCCTTCATATTCTAAAGCGTTGTAATTAAGCATATCGTTAAACATAATTAATACTATCTATAAAAGGTTACCTTTTCCAACTTATACTTGATCAATCGATCTAAAACTTTCCCCAAATAAATTCAACACTTTTGTTGCATATAGTAGTCAACTAGCTAGGTTTGCCACCTTCCAATTTTGGAAAACTTATTATAATTAGTGCCACTTCAGAGTTCAGATCACTCTCTAGTCCCAAGTCGTTTATGGCCATTTTCAGAATCCAAACATTGCATGTTGGTAATCCTGAATTCAAATACTTACTATGAATTAATGTAGCAAACGGGTTAATGATATTGTCAACCAAACTTGCTGAGCTTAGCAGAGCGTTATACTTTTGTAAAAGTTCATTACAATAAATGTTCAGAAAATGTTTAGGATATTTTTTTTTTTAGTTATCAATCATATTTGAAAGTCCTATTAGTTCAGATTAACTTGATTTTGGGTTTGAGCAATTTCCTCCCTTATTATGAATTGTGACTTTTAGGAATTGAATATGTGACAGATATATGTTAACACTTTCTCTTAGTATCAAACACTCTCTCTTAGTATCTATGAATTAGATAACTTGAGGTAGCAGATCACTAAGAATTAGATAACTTGAGGTAGCAGATCACTAAATACAATTATAACAGCGTTAGTTAATAGGGTGGTGTATGTGCACAATGACAATATAATAGTCAAAGATAGATTAAGTCATTCTTATAAATTTTATCTCCTATTTATAAAATTTATGTCAGAATATTAGAGTTCTAAACCTTGTAATCCAAAAGCCCAATTACATTCTTGCATAACTGTTATGGGTTTGCCTTTTGATAGGCTTTTTAGTCATACGAGCCTTGCATAGGTCTATATCATAATCCAACACTAATATTTAGAATATTTTATTCTTTATCTGTTGTGAAAAGCAATGTCTTAGGTAATTAATAGAATGTGTGGACGTGTGTGATTGCAATAGGATGTCAACCAAACGAGAAATCGCCGAGGATAAAGAGATGTGGATGTGACATCCATGAATTGACCCAATTAAAACCCACTATGTACCCCATCAAACCGTGCCTGGAGAGAGAAAGAGCAGAAATATTAGGTGTGTAAACTGTAAAAGGAAGAGGAAAGAAACGAAATCCCTGATTTTCATACCAAACTTTCAAACCAAAGGAGTAATAATGGTATTAAGTGAGGGAAATTTGCCTCTCCTTTCACTGCATGACGTGAGCAAATAATTATAATTATATATTATGAGTAGTATATAATTATAATTAATTTTTTTTTTGTCTCTTCAAAAAACTATCAACTGATATGATAAAAAAAAAAAAAATTTAATATTATAACGATCTATACTGTATAGTTGTAATTCATTGTTGTACAAAATTTCTTTTACGATAAAAGAAGAAGTTGGGACCCATTAAGTGAACCCAAAGGAAGGTAAGTAGAAAGTAAAGAGACTATAGGCAGAGGCAGAGAGTAAGGTATGGGGAGGTAGCATAGGGACCATAGAGAGAGCTGTGGCGTCATCCAAGTGCCAAATGGAGAATTTAGGTAACTGGAAATCATAAATGAGGAATCTATTTACTACTGTGGGGATTCGGCATGAAGATTTTTCACAAGGTTCAGGGTAATATACATCATGGGAGGTATGGTTCTAGTCATGGTGTGCTGCTATTTGGTATTGGTGAGTGGGGTTGGGTAGATAGAGTTGATATGATAGATAACACCCAAGATGTAGCAACACAACCACATGCTAGTACTATCAAAATATCTCCCCTCTATTTACGGTAGCTGAGGGGTTTTTTTTTTTCCTTTGGTTGAATAAATTTTTTTTTTATTTCTATGCCGGTCTTCACCCTCTCTCCCTCGATTTTAGTTTTGGTAAGTAAATCTTTTAACTTATATATAATTTTGTGTGCCTTTATAAAAATTCTTGGGTTGCCAGGGTTGACGATTCATTGATTATTCGATAAATTCAATCTGAATTCTATCAGACTTATATTGGAATTTCAAGACTATTTTCTTTATTTTCAATGTTCAAACTCATGATCAAATAAATTTTCTATTACTTAGAATCAATGATTCGTTAGCTTTTGGGGTGAATAAATAGCTGAGCTCCTTATACATGTGCCGAATTTGATACCTGAGTTTGAGTGATAATCCCATGTGGACAACATCCTTTGAACATAAATTATTAAATGGAAATATTTTTCTTTGCTACCGCGTAGAGCTAGTACTACTGATTTCAAATTTTGTTTCTATAAAAATTTCAGCTTGACCCCACTACGCAAATTTTGTTTGAATGATGGTGATGGTGATAATTATGAGGGTGTTGGTTATCTGCTTATCTTAATTTGTCGTCAGCATTCAAACATGTGGATGAAAGTCAAGTGTAGATGGAAAAGTTCAAGACGAAATTTAATATAAGCACGTCAACAACAGGCCATGGTGCCCCCCACCCCACTATATATGGTTGCCAAATCTGTTTTATATGGTATTGTTTTTTAGGCGAAGTTGTAAGGTATTCTGCAAACTATAAGCAACACGCAAGAAATTAAGATGAGGGAAAAGAGGAGCATTATTAACAATATCACTAACTGGGGTGAAATGTTTAAACAAAAATGGGAAAAAGTGAAATAAGGCCAAAACTAAAAAAAGGTGACAAAGATATATATCCTTTGGAATAAGCAAGCAATACGGTATATCAATGAAGGTAACGCATTAATGCCACGTTGAAAATTGACTTGATCTTATCTACTTATCCGGTGATTCACGACTTCTAAGTTCTCATAAGCACCTTATTTCTTGTACTATCAATGTCATGCGGAGGAAACTATCAGAAAGAACTCAGGCTCAGCACTGATTAAATGCAGCATTTGTGGCACTCTGAGTCTTTGCTTTCGGCTTATTAGCAGAGTGGGTGAAGGAATTTTGGACCACTTGAGTGAGCAATTTCAACTTTTAACACAAAAAAGATTGAATGAATTTTCCATCTTTTAGGATGTATATGACAACCATTTTTTTTTCTGTCATTATTTTTGAAAAGAAATAATTCTTTTCTATTTTTGTGCTTTGGAACAGTTTTTGAGAAAAAAAACATGTTTAATAACATTATTCCGAAAATAAGAATTGCGTTTGATAACACGTTTTATTCTTTATTCTGAGAGTCAAAATTACTTATAAATCTATTTCTTTACTTTTTGTTTACAAAATTCATCACTTGTATAAAATAACAAATTACAATAGATTTTAATTGAAATGACAACATTTCATATTTAGAAAAAGTATCTAAAAAATTATAATATTTTATTGTGTAATTTTTTTTACAACAAATGCTAAGATATAATTTTAACCATTATTTTTCATCCTCTTCTCAATTCATTGTTTTTTATTTCTTATTTCCTTGACCATTTCATTTTTTTTTTTGTGATAAAAACCATTTCATTTTTAATACCATATTATTACCTTAATATTAAAGATACAAATGAACAATTCATATTATTACCTCCAAAATGAACAATACGGGATGTCAAGCATGTGGTACATATTCAAGTAATGAAAATATTGGGATGCTACACAACGAACAGTAGACAAAAGAATTACACAAGGGATTTCAATCTTTCTCATGCAGTAGACAACATTTTAAAACTGACCGGA